ACATCTTTACTGTCAGTGGGAGGTAAAACAAACAAACCTACTTTATTACAGTATTATAAATTCAAACCCTAAATAACTTAAAGAAAGCTTTCACTTAAAATGAAGAAAAGGGTAAGAAACGGATCTATTAATGCAGTCTATTATTAGGTATTTTAATTTCAATATTTTAAAGATTACAGTGACACAGGAGGAGGAAAACCGAAAAGCCTGTCTCTGAGAAGAGATAAACTGAGCAATATGAGGGAGACTGAGGGGCCAGGGGTGCAGCTCAAGGGAGAGAGCTCCCGAGTTCCAGCCCCAGCCCTGCAAAGAGGCGACAGGGAGCAAGGACTGGGAGACGACAGGGACCCAGGACCGGGAGACGACAGGGACCCACGCTCAGCATGATCTCCAACAGGCGCTCGCATTTCACATCTGACACTTTTCCGGGGGTGTGCAGCGTGACGCTGGTACCAGTGCACCCAGTTGAAAGTTATGGAGGCTACAGATCAAAACTCCCAATTTTAATTTAGGAGAAGGAAGGGAGGCAAGTAAAGGGAGATGCCCAGACTCAGGGGGAACGGCCAAAATAAACCATCAAGGCTTCAAACAAGAGTTTAGATTTTCTGTTCAATTTAAGCACCAGCATGATATATACAAAGCATATGTAACTTTTTGGCTGCTTCTGTGAGTTCATTAATATCAGCGAGATTCAGAAACTCCCTGCAGTCAGGTCAGGCCACATGCAAAAGAGGAATTTATGAAAACAAAGGGACTTCTTCGTTGGGATATGAGTCAAGACCCACTGCCTGACTACTGGCATCCTTTGATGCGACTGCTAGCTCTGCTAACTGGGGTAACTGTCACCATGTGAGACAAAGGACAATGCTAACTGCTTCCAGGCCGGTATCCCTCTCATCCTGAGCACACAGCACGTAAGCCTATGTGAAGTCACTGGCTTCCTTGAAGGACACACTTAGTGGCTCTGCGACTTGGCTAAGTCACACAACCCTTTGGGCCTCCATGTTGTTTCAGTTGTAAAATGAAAATGATGAAGTGCTTCACAGATTTACATTAAAATCTCTGTCAAGCCTTCAGGGTTGTCCTGGACTCCTAACAAGCCCCCAGTGATCAGTGGCAACAGATACCATCACTGCGGCCGCTGCCTGTCCACGCTCAGAGCAGGGGGTGATGGCCTTTTAGACCCCGACGAACAAGAAGTGGCTTGGGCGGGGCAGGACCTTCCCCTTCTCCCTCGGCTCTGCCTCCAGCTGCACAGACCGCACACCTTCCTAACCCCTCTGAGCCAGGCACCAGCCTCACGAAAGCAGGTATGATGACTCCTCACTTCAGCGCTGTTGTGAAAAACAAGTGAAACAAGGAGAGAAAAGGCTCCAGTGTCTGGCATGCAGTAGGTTTGCAACATGTGCTAATTTCCTGTTTCCTTGGCTTCTTATATAATTCTGCTTATGAGAGAAATCCAGGTTGCCCGAGGTGTTGCTGGGAACAGTGTAAACTCTGCTACTGAAAATAACGTGTAGGAGTAAGGCTTCTGTGCAGACGTACATGCACATTTAAAAATTCAGAGGCTACTTCAACACATCATCAAACTATCTAAACCGTGGAGGACAGAGATCACCAGCAAGGCTAGCCATCTTTAACGATGCGATCCCACCAGGCCTTTGCTGCCAGAGCCTGGGTTTTTAGGGCTCCTCAAATGAAAGCACAGCATTCCTTAAAATATCTGACCAGGTGGAAGACAACAGGGGCTTTGCCGTCAGGTAAAGCGCTGCTATTCTTTCTCTCCCCAATTAAGTTTCTAGAGCATTTAGGGAGGGCACAACCCCAGAATTTTAGCAAGATCCAATACAAACCTGTTGGAGTAAGCTCTTTCTTCATTCTTTTTAATTTCTTGGTCTTTTTCCTTCCCTCTGAGAAGGATTCTGCACAGGAATCCATCTGCTCAAGCTCAGAGTCAGAAATCTTCCCTGATACTCTGTCTTCTGGGCCAGCTTTTGGACTGGGGCTCAAATTTCTCTTTCTGATTGTGCTGGTGGCTGTAAAGCTGAAATGCAAAATGTGGAACAAGATGGAAGGTGTTAAGAGGAGCAGTAAGACCAGACTGTAAAAACATTTTAATACTCTTAATTCGATTAACATTTCGCCGCCAATCCACAGAGACAGCTGCTGCCTTAGAGAAAAATGACAGACCTACTCAGGAACTGAGGTCTAAAAGTTCACTCATGACAAATGCGTTCAGAAGCAAGTTCTACATTAGGCCTGTGTAGAGACATGCAAAAATCTGAGTTGTTCTTTGTGATAAAAAACAAAATTTTATAGAAAATTCCAGGTCTCTACTTTGAGAAAGCTGATGTAATAGAACAAAGTAATAGTTTGATTACATGAAATCAGAATGTAGCATTATTACTTTTGGATCTATATACGGCAGAACTGTATATCACACTGTTTAAAACTTGAACGGTTACACTGGCTGGGCCTGGTGGTGCATGCTGGTCATCCCAGCACTTGTGAGAATGAGGCAGGAGGATCACTGTAAATTTAAGGCCACCTTGGTTACAGATCAAGACTAACTTGAACTATACAGTGAGATCCTGTCTCAAAAAGCCAAAAGCCAAAGCCAAAAGCCAAAACCCAAAACCTTAAACAGTTATAGAATATACCTGGCCTTTGTGCAATTCTTTTCCAAAAACGTGACATTAAATTTATAATTAAATGGCTTAATTTTTTAAAGCTTTACAGGATTTGACATGTCGTCATATTGTGTGTCCTGATTTTTTCCTTAAGAAAGTATATTCCCTGAAATACAATTTGTTAAAAAAAAAAAAAAACATGGCCAGTGAGTCCTCTCTCCTATAAATGGGTCTTATAAATAAATTTTTTATTATGAGAAGCATAGAAAAAAATCAAGGCATTTCATTTAAAGGAGACCATTCAAAGCAAAGACGAAGGTGCAGGGTACGTGACAATCATGCCTGATAGTTCACTGTATGAAGGAGAATGAACTGCTTCCCAGGCTGTTCCTGTGGGTCACAGGAAGCAGAAGAGACCCAAGCACTTGGCTTGTTCAGTGTCACATCTCTTACCAGAGCTTCTGCAAACACCCACTGCATCGAGGGGCGATGAAGGAAGGAGGGGCTATCTATGGCAACATGCGGGGAGGGGGATCGTTAAAATTTTGTGCTTAAATTTACTGCTTACAAACTGACTCAAAAATTTTTTAAAGATTAAACAAAGTTTGGGTGATTTTAGAAAATTCTGAAAGTATAAGAAATAGTAAGGAACCATTATTCCACTGCAAAAGAAGAGGCCTTAAAAACTCCTTTGGACTGTCAATTTTGGAGCACAGTAGCCTCTGGGACAAAAATGTTTACTGAAAACTCAGAGCCCAGTGAATGTAATCATTATGCACTGTAAACATGTCCTAATAAAAATGTTTAAAAAAAACTCAGAAGAGGGCCTGGGATTTAGCTCAGTGGTGCTGCCACCTGCCTTGCAAGTACAAGGGCCTGAGTTCAATCCCCAGTACCAAAAAACAAAATGAAACTCAGAAGCATTAGCATTAAAAATACTTCATGTAATACAAGTCTAGAAATACCTCCAAGTACATAGAGAAATACAGTGCATGAATAAGGTGGTATCTTAAGTTACTGGGGGGGCAAAGATGGACTTTTAAAAAAATGCTATTAGACCTATTCCTCACAGAAGAATCATTGCCTAATGGATCTCATATCTAAATATGAAAAATGAAATTGTGCAAGTGTTAGGAGGAAATTTGGATGAATTTTTCCAACCTAGGTGCATAAAAGGTTTTTTTTTTTACTATGAGTCACAACCTAGAGACAATAAAAGACTTATAAATACAAAATTCTTTTGCATGGCAGTAAAAAGAACAAAGTCAAAAAGAATGACAAACCAGGAGAAAATAGTGGCAGCCTGTGTCACAGATAAAGGTTTGATGCATCCATGTAAATAACTCAAAACTAAAGATACTAAAAAACCCTAAGAAAAATGAGACAGTTATAAAGAACTCACCACACACATATATGCACACACATTCTTTAAAATGTGAAAAGATGTTCAACTTCACTCATAATGCAAAATAAAGTGACACTGAAATATGGTTTTCTCACCTATGAGATTAGCAAAAATATCTAAGACCTTGCTAACACTCTGTTGGTAAGCCCAGGAAATGGGTGCTTTCACACACTGCTGCTGATGGGCAGTTTGCTCTTACAGAAGGGGATGACACCTACCAGAGAAGCACCTGCACAAATCACACACAATTCTATTTCTAGGAATTTCAAAGATACACCTCTTACACTGCAAAAATGCAAATGCGTGAGTTATTTGTTCCAGCATAATTTGTAAATTGCAAAATATCACAGTGTCTAAGCTAAATGTTGAAGCACAGGAAATTGGGTGGGTACACCATAGCGTACATATTCATATAATCAATGAAGCAGATATAAAAAAAGAATGAAAAACTCAAACTGAGAATGAGTAACGGACCGATTTCCAATAAAAACGATGCCAAAGACAGTATAAAAGGGCAATTTGTAAATCTTGTATTTCCAGTCTTGAGGGAGCAGCATCAGAGAACTGAATTAAAAAAAAAAAGTTCTAAATGCTCAGATTTGCTTCTGTAGGAAAATGAGTGAAGCAATTATGAAAAGATGCACTAGGCCCCCAAGTAAACCAGTAAGTGTGCTGACATACAGGCTATGGCATGAGGGAGGGGAAGGAGAAACTTGATGACTAGAACTGGAGGTGTGGGTTGTGACTGCTGTGTGTTCACGCTGACACGTACACATGTACCTGCGTACACACGTACGTATGGGTATATATCTGCACACCTATCTCCCAGCTTGTCCGCTGAAAGGACCTAGAAGTGAAAACTCCCCAACAGCAATGGGTACATCCAGTGCTCGGATCTTAGTATCTACCATCATTCCTCGTAAGGAGCCCGGGCTCCTGGAGAAACTGGACTCAGGTACAGGAGTCATGAAATGAACCTGAAATACAATACTAGAAGAAAATTGCTCAACAAATGACTGGGAACATGATGGGGACAAAGGACCTAGCTTGAAAGGGCTCCCACTGGTCAAATCTCAGACAAGTTTGAACATCAAATAATTAAAGGGCAGTGAAAGCACTGCAAAAAAAAGAAAGAGAAATACATGCAAGGGAGGCACAGAAAGAGAAGAGAGAGAGCACACCGATGGATGTGTGACTTCCACATGATTAATAAATACACTGTGTGTCTATTAAAACAAAGCAGAAGCTGTCTTGAGGGCTCATTTGATAAATGCCTCATTTAATAAAACATCTTTCTTCAGTCGCTCAGGCTCACAGCCTTGGAGGCAGAGTGGGCTTTCTTCACCCTTCAGAGGAGCCTTTGCTCCTCCAGTGGCTTGATCCTGCATTTCACCAGTACTTCACCAGCACAATGCGCAGCCCCTAGGGGCCATCTCAAAGTACCGGCAGTCCTATCTCACTCTCACCGGCTACCTCTCGCCCTACTCACCTGTGGCCACTGTGGGTCCTGCTATCTCGCTCTTGGATTTTTACGACAGGGCTCCAATTGGCTCCCTCTTCCCTCCTCTCTCCAGTCTTCTTTCCCCTTCAATTCACTCCTTCCAACACTGCTCAGGTTCTTCTAAAGCAGAGATTTGATCAAGACATTCCTAGTTCAAAAGCGTCTATGGCTCTCCATTACACACCTAAATTTAAACTGACTGGCACAGGTTCCAAGACACTCAGCTCAGCTGGAATCTGCACCCTACTACATGCTCTCCCACACGTCCACAGTCCTATCAGGGCTCATCAGCCAAACGCATCTTCAGCTTCCTGTGTCAATGGCACCGTTCACGTGAAGCCCTATTACTTTACTCCTCCTGCTCAAACACATCTTCCAAGAACATTCCCCAATCACTGTTTAATGTTCCTTCCTTTCTGTGCTTGTCTGTTTCAGGGAAACTTCAAGTTATTCATCCTGTTTATTTGTAACAGACAGAAACCGGGAACCGTGCAGCTGTGCATCAACAGTAGAATGGATAAACAGTGCAGGGTATATTCACACAGTGAAATACAGCAAGGAAAGTCCAGCAATGGAAAAATAAGAAACTAGGGACAAGTTTGATACATCCGCTAACACAGATAAACTGCAAAATCATTTTGCTAAGTCAGTGAAGCCTTCAGAGAAAATAGTGGGTATTTTGTAATTCCATTTTTATGAAATTCCAGAAATAGCCAAACTAATCTACGGGGAAAAATTTTTCAGAAGAATGATGGGGGTGGAAGGGTAGGTAGGTCTGAGGGAACTTTCTGGCATAACATTTATACTGTGCATTTTTACAAGACTCTGCTTTTTTTTTTTTTTGTACTGGGGTTTGAACTCAGGCCACGGATTGAACTGAGCCACCGAACTGAATCCCTGGTCCAGAGTCTGCTTTTGACAAACTCACATCACAACAATAGGCGGAAGGCCGGGGATGTGGCTGAGAATGTGTACCTAGCATGTGCCCCACATGTACCACCAGGTCCTGAGTTCGATCCCAGCACCACTACCAAAAAAGGGGTAGCTGAGGATTTAGCTCAGTGGTTCTGGTGCTTGCCTTGCAATCACAAGGACCCAAGTTCAATCCCCAGTACTTAAAAAAAAAAAACCAAAAAAGGGGTAACTGGTTGTTTTGGTCTGAGCATTAACTGCAAATGCCAATTCCGTAGGCACTTTCTAGAGCACACAGTTTTCATCCTAGAAAAAGGGGTATGGTTGTTTGGGTCTGAGCATTAACTGCAAATGCCAATTCCGTAGGCACTTTCTAGAGCACACAGTTTTCATCCTAGCCACAGATTTTTGTGGTGTTTTGGCTAGTAAGGCCCATGCCTCTGCAGTGTTCCTCTGCACAAACATCTGCGTGTTTCCTATTGCAGCAGGGACTGTACTAGATGTGCCTCTAGGCGGGTCTTATTTTTATATAACTTTTAAGTTTACAAAGCATTTATATAAACATTTTTTCAATTACTTCTTTCAATTAATTATTC